TTGCGTTTTGTTCAACTTAAACAAATAATTCACTTTAATATCGACGTAACCTTCATATGTATAATTGAAAATGGCAAATGTTCTTTGAATAGTGATTGTTAGAAGAATGTAAGGTTGAAAATAATGAAAATTTTTGGATTTACGTATAAAATATTTTATCGTGTGAATGTATGGTTAAAAATGAGTATGTAGAAAAAAGAGTTTGAAAATAATTGTTGTCAAATAAAGGCTAAAAACAGATGCTAAACAAATTACGTATAAATACTTTAAAATTTGTTCAAATACAAAATGGCACGGGGATTCCTCAATAAAAAAAAATAGATTCATTTTAATAAATGTTGGAAAAAATCGAATGGAGTTTTTGCTGTATTTTGCGAAAATCAAATAATGGGAGCTAAACGGGGGCATAATTTTGCAAAAAATGATTTGCAATTTGCAAAACATACTAATATTTTATAGAGAGTGTATTTTATAATTTTCCAAGTTTAATTTAGTCTTCTAAATTGATGACAATTATTTAAGTAGTAGTCATGAAACAAAAAAATATCTTGGCATGTCAATTAATCATTAAATCACACTATAAAAGTGTTAGATAATGCATTTTAACATTTTTTTTAATTATAAAAAACGGTATACTCCTCATTTTACCATTTTTCGTTTTTACGGTATCACATTAACATAGTAATTACGTGAAAGAGAGTTACTGCATGACTAACTAGACAATTTTTGTAAATTCAGAGAAAGATATATAACAAAACGTGATAAAGTCATGCAATTTTAAATTAAATATAAGTTTAGAGATTCAATTCCGTTTAGCCAATTTATATTATTTATAAATGGTCAACTTTCATTTTAAACAACCTATTTTCGGAGATTATCGTAGTATTCAATTATTCGTACATTCATTTTTATCTATTAATTAAATCATTTATAAATTTTCCATATGAAAGCATTAGTGACTCAATTGCTTTCAGTCGTAGATAAAATTTACACTCTTCTATCACTTTCAAGATGAATTAGTCTAAATATACTGAATGGTGTCTCCCCTCTCATAATGCGTTCGGGCCCCATGTGTATTTAAAAATTTTGGCTTGTGGTCCCCACCTCCTAATGTGAGTGGGATGTAAAAGATCTGGTATAAAAATTCGGTACATGTAGCATAACCCCTTTTTAGAATTATATTGATGATTTTATGTTCATACTTGTGCTAATAATAACTTGATAGTAATTGTAAGTTACGTGTGTATAAAGTATATTTGAGTAGGTTATTTAGCCTTTGTTGGATAGAAATTAAAATCTAAGGCCCCGTTCTCTTTGTCGTTTTCAAGTCGTTTTCTGTTTTCGATTTTCCAAAACACCAAAAATACGTTTTGCAAAACAAGTTAAAAATTTATGAAGAAAACACAAAACGACAAATTTGTCGTTTTGGGTGTTTTCAGTTATAATTTGGCCAAAATTTTCAAAACTTGTTTTCGTTGTTTTTAATGGAATTTGAGAATTTCTAAATTCTATATTTCTGCTCAAACAGAGAAGTTTTTACACACGGCTATAGCAAGGCATTACATAGATATTTATACAAGAATGTAAAAACTATTNGTTTTCAATTATTTTCACCCCCAACCACCACTGTTGCTGCTTGCAAAACACCACCAACCGTTGCCGTCGCCGTCGCCGCCTCAACATCACCCTAACCACCACCACCATCGCCGGAACAACCTCCACCTCCACCGCCACACCCAAAAATCTCCGCCACAACCAACCACCCACGGACCAACATTTTTTCCGAATTTGTTTGCTTCAATTCCTCATCCCCACAACATTTAATCATCAAATTGGCCCCAAGAGTGTCTTCAGCAGCCACATAGGATCACGGGTTACATGTCAATTGCACCAATTAATTCAGAAACTGCTCCAATTTTCGAATCCACTGCCACCTTCCCCTCACCTCCATTTCCTAACCGTCCCCTCCCCTTCCCTCACCTCTACACACAACACGCCCACACCCAAGCAAATGGGTTGTGTGATCCGGACACAGCTAGCAAGATCCGTTTTCAAGTGTTATACCCACCACCAGAAGGGTCCGACCAAATTCTGTTCCCTCGACTTCGGCGAACGCAATGGCTACCTGAAGGGGGTGGTGACTGAAATCATTCACGATCCAGGCAGTGGTGCCCCCCTTGCTCGCGTTACCTTCAATTTTGGATGGGAGGAAGAGAGATGGACGAAGACAGATGGATGCGGGGAGAGAGAGAGAGAGAGAGAGAGAAAATGAGTTTGAAAGAGAACACGTTTTTCATTTTTGGGTTTTCGAAAATAATTTTTCAAAATGACAAAAAGAATACATTTTCAACAATTTCAAAATGGACACTCAAAACACAAAACTCAAAATAGAAAACTGAAATACGAAGAGAACAGTCCTTAAATTTTTGTCATTGTTTAATCCCAATTATTTTCAAAGTATTTTTTTTTATTCTTTGCAACCACACATTTTTCAATAAAACAATATTGCACGTAAATTAAAAACTTTTTCTTATTTTTTAACTACATACTCTACATTAATGTACTATTCCAAAATGTATTTTTGGCCATAAACGAGGCTCAAATGAGCCCTTAATCTGAATCAAAGTCGATAATTAATTTTAATAATAGATTTTATAAGATCAACAATTTGTCAACTATACATTTCATTAATTTTTTTTTATCAAATTTACTAAATATTTAATTTTAATAGATTTGTCTTGGTAGATGTGATGAAATTTCAAAAAGAGACCCATACGCATAACTTTTGCGCAAAATACCAGTTTTCACCAATTTTTCCAAGCGGTGTCCTCTCTATTCAGCATCTTCCCCCTTCCTCCCTTTTCTGTTTGAAGCCAGATAAATGAACAAACCGCCAAAAGAAAATATCTGCTGTACATTCGTCTTATCTTCTAGAAATTATAGCCTCTTCTAATCTTGAATGTACTGTACATGTTTTTCACGTAAATCTATACACTTATCTTATATACGAAATAAATCTCTTCAGACATGCCAAAGTTCCATTTTTTTCCCATGCCAAATCGACGTCTTGGCAACTTATGAAAGAACCCAGAAGAAAAATCAATTTCAGAGGGCATGAATTTCACTGGATTTCTAACCGTCACTCCACCGTCATTACCCATAAGCAGAAAATCGAAGGTACACAAGAACCCTTCTGTTCCTTGCTGCTCAACTTCTGGTTGTACGTACACTAGCAGTGAACCAGAAACTGCAAAAAAATTTAGCTATAGTAGAGCCTCACCATCTGTGAGATGGCCCAACTCAAAATTCACAGATACCCATAAGTATTTACACGATTCCTCATTCATTGTTAACCCTCCCCCACTGACCGATGTTGGAATTGTACAAGATTCTGAGGGTAAAGATAAAATTGGAATAGAAAGTGAAGAGGAGTTATTTACCGTGAATAGAATGAATGACGAATATGTTGATGTTTTGGATAGGAGGATTAGTAGGAATACGGTAAAGAAAATGAATAAATTGGCATTGAAGAGGGCAAAAGATTGGCAAAAGAGAGTACAATTTTTGACCGATAGGATTTTAGAATTGAAGTCTGAGGAGTTTGTAGCCGATGTTTTGGACAAGAAGATGGTGCAAATGACCCCTACTGATTTTTGCTTTCTGGTGAAATGGGTTGGTCAGTCTAGTTGGCAAAGAGCGTTGGAGGTTTTTGAGTGGTTAAATCTTCGGCATTGGTATTCTCCCAATGCTCGAATGCTTGCCACAATACTTTCCCTGCTCGGAAAGGCAAACCAGGAAGCGTTGGCTGTGGAGATTTTTGCTCGGGTGCAGCCTTCGGTAGGTAATACAGTCCAAGTTTACAATGCGATGATGGGGGTTTATGCTCGGAATGGTCGGTTTGCCAAGGTTCAGGACTTGCTTAATTTGATGAGAGAACGTGGCTGTGAGCCAGACCTTGTGAGTTTTAATACTCTGATAAATGCACGTTTGAAATCAGGGCCTATGACACCAAACTTGGGGATTGAACTCTTAAGTGAAGTGAGAAGGTCAGGGATTCGACCTGATATAATTACTTATAACACTCTTATCAGTGCTTGTTCACGCGAGTCCAATTTGGAGGAGGCTACAAAGGTTTTTGATGACATGGAAGCGCACAAATGTCAACCTGATTTATGGACTTATAATGCCATGATTTCTGTGTTTGGAAGATGTGGATTGGCTGGTGAGGCAGAACGGCTCTTTAAAGAGTTGGGATCAAAGGGTTTTTTCCCCGATGCAGTTACATACAATTCGGTACTCTATGCATTTGCAAGAGAAGGGAATTTAGAGAAGGTGAAGGAAGTTTGTGAAGAGATGGCGAAGATGGGATTTGGTAAAGATGAGATGACTTATAATACTATCATTCATATGTATGGGAAGCAGGGTAAGTATGAGCTTGCATTGCAAATTTACAGAGACATGAAATTCTCTGGCCGAAATCCTGATGTAGTGACGTATACTGTTCTTATTGATTCTCTTGGGAAAGCAAATAAGATGACAGAAGCTGCAAATGTGATGTCAGAGATGCTAAATACTAGTGTTAAACCTACGTTGCGTACTTACAGTGCTTTGATCTGTGGCTATGCAAAGGCTGGAAAACGAGTGGAAGCAGAAGAGATGTTTGATTGCATGCTGCAGTGTGGAATTAAACCAGACAATTTAGCGTACTCAATCATGCTGGATATCCATTTAAGATCAAACGATGCCAAAAAAGCAATATTGTTGTACCTTGAAATGGTTCGCAATGGTTTTGCCCCAGATCTTCTTCTATACGAGGCACTGCTCCGGGTGCTTGCCAAAGAAAACAAAGAAGAAATTATCCAGAAAGTGTCCCAGGATCTGGAAGAATTGCATGGCTTGGGCCCAGAAATGATTTCATCTTTACTCACTAAGGGAGAATGCTATGACCATGCAGCTAAAATGTTGAGAATAGCAGTTAAGCAGGGTTACAGTTTTGACCGAAATGTCTTATTTTCAATTTTGAGTTCGTACAGTTCATCTGGACGATACTCTGAAGCAACAGAGTTGTTAAACTTTATAAAGGAGCAAACCTCTGGATCCCGGAAGTTTATAACTGAGGCCTTAATTGTTATTCTCTGCAAAGCTCACCAATTGGATGCTGCTTTAGATGAGTACTCCAAAAATAATAACTTATGTTTTTCTGACGGGAGTTTTGCCATGTACGAGTCCCTGATCGAGTGCTGCAAAGAGGAACGCATTTCTGAAGCTTCTCAAATATTTTCTGACATGAACTTCTGTGGGGTTGAACCTTCCAAGAACATATACCAAATAATGGCTACTATATATTGCAGAATGGATTTTCCAGAGACGGCACAACACTTGGTTGATCGTGCTGAAATAAAGGGAATTCCTGTTTGCAATATCTCAATTTGTACTGACCTCATTGAGACTTATGGAAAACTGAAGCAACTGGAGAAAGCAGAGAGTGTTGTGGGAAGGTTGAGACAGAAATGTAGTGTAGTGGACCGTAAAGTTTGGAATGCTTTGATAAAAGCTTACGCTGCAAGCGGTTGCTATGAGAAAGCAAGAGCTGCTTTTAATACAATGATGAGAGATGGTCCTTCCCCAACAGTGGATACAATTAACGGTCTCTTGCAAGCACTTATTGCTGATGGAAGATTAAATGAGCTTTATGTTGCGATTCAGGATCTTCAAGATATGGGTTTTAAAATTAGCAAGAGTTCTATCGTTTTGATGCTGGATGCTTTTGCACAATCTGGTAACATATTTGAAGTGAAGAAAATATACCATGGAATGAAGGCTGCAGGGTATCTTCCTACCATGCATCTCTATAGAGTTATGATTGGGTTGCTGTCCAGGGGAAAACAAGTAAGGGATGTTGAGGCCATGGTCATTGAGATGCAGGAAGCAGGATTCACACCTGATCTTTCAATATGGAATTCAATGCTTAATCTGTATACAAATATCAAAGATTATAAGAAGACAGTTGAAGTTTACCAGTGGATACAAGAATCTGGACTTAAACCGGATGAGGAAACTTACAATACTTTAATACTGATGTACTGTAGAGATTGTAGGCCTGAAGAAGCTCTTTCATTGATGCATGAAACGAGACGGCTTGGTCTAGAACCTCACTTGAACACCTACAAAAGCCTGATAGCAGCATTTTGTAAACAGCTGAAGCTAGAAGAAGCAGAACAACTTTTTGATGGTCTAAGAACAGAAGGAATCAAACTCGATCGTTCTTTTTATCATTTAATGATGAAAATGTATAGAAGCTCTGGAAACCACTCTAAAGCTGAAAAGCTACTAGTCACTATGAAGGAATCAGGAGTTGAGCCCACCATTGCTACAATGCATCTGCTCATGACCTCTTACGGCAGCTCAGGGCATCCCATAGAGGCAGAAGAAGTGCTTAATAATTTAAAATCAAATGGGGCAGAACTTAGTACTCTACATTACAGTTCTGTCATTAATGCTTATCTCAAAAATGGTGATTTCAACATTGGCATTCAGAAACTCGCGGAGATGAAAACAGAAGGTATAGATCCAGACCACAGGATATGGACTTGTTTCATTCGCACTGCAAGTTTGTGCCACTCTACTAGTGAAGCCACTACACTCTTAACTGCTATTAGAGATGCTGGTTTTGATATTCCTCTCAGGCATGGTTTCATTCCTATTTTGTCCTTTTTCTTTTGTTTTCATTTTAGGGGTGCAGGTGTGGGAAGTTCTGTTTAAACCTCTTCTCTGATTGCGAATATTAAAGTGATTTTACATTCACAGGCTTCTGACAGAGAATTCAGAGTTGCTGTTGTCAGAGATAGACTGTTATCTTAAGAAACTAGAACCCATAGAAGACAATGCTGCTTTTAACTTTGTCAATGCTCTAGAGGATTTATTGTGGGCTTTTGAACACCGCGCTACTGCCTCGTGGATTTTCCAACTAGCAATTAAAAGAAACATTTATCACCATGACGTGTTCAGGTAGAAAACTCTATTCTTTAAATATCTGAATCGTACGATTTATGTTAGGATAACATGGGTCAAGTTTGGCTTGCAACGAAATATGGAATTGAGAAAATACGGCTAAAAATTGGACACAAATATTTACGTGGTTCACCCAATTTAGGCTACGTCAACGTGCAAGTATAGGAGGATTTCACTATAGTAGGAGAAATACAACAATACTCTCTAAATACAAGGAGATAACAACAATAAATCTCTCTTGTAATAGGAGAAAACAAGTAGTCTCTAAATACAAGGAAATAACAACAATTAATCTCTCTTGTAATAGGAGAAAATAATTAGGAAATACTAGGAGAAAACAATAATTTCTCTCTCTATAATTTTATTCCTCTACTCACAATATTTTCTCTCTACACGGCTTGATATATTTCTTCACTCCTAGCCTTCTATTTATAAGGAAATATCACCATCTTACTTCATCAAATTCACTCCAAAGTGTCAACCAAAGCTGCTGAAAATTTCTTCCAATTTCTCTACTATTATCATTTAATGCAAATTCATGCATGTATGGCAAAGGTGGCAATTTGTTGTTTTGTCAAAGAAAGTGGCTTAAATAATTTTCTTCTTCCTTTGCAAAATTCGGCTGACATTGGCTAATTTGCCAACCTCCAAACAATAAATGAGTTCCTCGGTGATGAAGAAAATGACTTTATCCAACAATTTATTTACTGCCAATCAAGTTTAAATATGGAGTTTGTTCAAAGAGTGCTCCTGAAGAATGCAAAATATGCCTTTTCATTTTATTTTTGGAATTGGAAAATGAAACATGAGTCAGTTCACATTATTTTAGGGGACCAATTACAAATTCTGGGCCCTAGTTGGAGGATTTGAGCATATCCCTTCATGATGTACGGTATATAGTTTAAGAAAAGCAATGCCATATTGCAAGAGAACGTCGTGCTATTAAATTATGTGATGTCCTTATTAGCTCATACTAAAATTAATATATCAAGTATGCAAGATAATGAACAAGCCACCCTGGAATGCTTATAATCTCATGCAACAACAGTAACAACAAAATAAGCTCTGTTCTCAATAATTTCATTGTACTACTTGTGAGCTTAGTGCCTATTTAACTTATAATAACAATCTTGAATGACTTCTTCGTTCATATAGATGGGCACTATAACACTTTCCGTTCATTTGACATTTTTTTATCTCTTTTTGATCTCATTGAATAATCCAATAGACGAAAAATGAGTATGTACCATGGATTTAATATGTTTTCAAATACCCAAAAGTGCATCATATACTTTCAAGAAAATCTTTCACATTGCTGGAGCTATCTGAACTAGCTTCCATGTTTCTATTTATCTGATTTACTTTTGATTATGTTTCTTTATTGTGCAGAGTGGCTGACAAGGAATGGGGAGCTGACTTTAGAAAGTTATCTCCCGGTGCTGCTCTTGTTGGTCTAACTCTATGGCTTGACCTCATGCAGGCAAATCTTCTTTCCGATCTCTCTTAGATTTGTGATTTTGAATGATTATTTCAAGTGGAGAAACAATTATGGCAAATCAAGAACTCGATGCTCCTAATTTTGAGCAAACTCTTCCCTACTAATTTTTTACGTAACACTGTGAACTAATTTGCTTAATTCAGGAGTTTGCTCCCATTAAACGAAAAAGAAGGAAGTAATAATCACGATTTTGCTTATTTATGAAGTAACAGTGCACACATGAAACCTGGGATTTTCATTACCTGACTGTATATTTTAGATATATTTTGTTATATCTGTAGCGCCTAGGAAGTTACAAGTACTTTTAAACTTTACTGATTGCCTCAATCAGCAGTCCTTGTTGCTTCACGTTTTTTGAGGTGGATCATAGTCATACTTCAGTTTATAGTCCATCTATCCCTGTTTAGTAACGGGCTTGTTATCTTCTGTTTCATTATCTTTGGTTCCATATAAACCCCTTTGGTTTGTATTTTTTGTCATTTCTTGTTTTGCATCTGATGTGACACTATAATCACCATACGTTGTTGGAGGATTTCCATAATCTCCAAATCAATAACATTGACTCAGATGACTTGTCAAACCTCCCAAAACTACAACCCAAAGGGGCTAGAACGATATTCATAGTTTTACCCATTGTCTGAAGTTGATAGTCCATGTATTCATGTTCAATGTCAATTCATTTTATTGACTTTGTGGTTTGCTTTCTGTATCTGGCTTCAACTATTTATTAAGAGCACCATTTTCCGGTACATTTGTTATTTTTATTATTATATTTTTCTCTCTGAGATGACACTTTAGTAGCTGCAGGATGCATCCTTGGAGGGGTTTCCTGAATCCCCGAAGTCTGTAGTACTGATTACAGGGACATCAGACTACAATAAGGTTTCTTTAAACAGCACATTGAAGGCATACCTTTGGGAAATTGGGTCTCCATTTCTTCCCTGTAAAACTCGGAGTGGAGTCCTTGTAGCGAAAGCTCATTCCTTGAGAATGTGGTTGAAGGATTCCCCATTCTGTCTGGACCTCGAGTTGAAAGATAACCCTGTGCTTCCAGAGACAAACTCAATGCAACTCATGGAAGGGTGCTTTATTAGACGTGGTCTCGTTCCTGCTTTCAAGGACATAAATGAGAGGCTTGGGCAAGTAGCACCTAAAAAGTTTGCTAGGCTTGCCTTGCTTTCAGATGAGGAAAGAGACAAAGTTATTAGGGCTGACATTTCGGGGAGGAAAGAGAAGTTAACCAAGTTGGGAAGAATCGGGAAGAATATCTCGAAATTCAGTAATAGAAAACTCGCAACTGCTGTTCCTTCAAAACCAGAAAATTGAGTTGTCCATAACATTCTCTCAACAGAAGTTCCCCCAACTTTTTTTGTGGATCATGACCATACGGAGTTGTGTAGCTGGGGCTTGAAGATGCTGGAAACCCGAGAATGTACATTTGTCTCCATCAATAACTCAGACATTCTCACTGTGGAAGCATTGGAAAATCTGCTGGAAATTATCTTGTTGCTTCTTTATGCATCCGTGACATTCTTGAACGTTATCGAATGGCAACGGGTTGTGTGAGAAAGGAGAAAAGTTTTGAAACAAGATCTTCAAGGCAATGAGCTACTAATGGAAATGACTTGAGAAGCTCATTCTTTTGCTGGCAAGTATTTTACAGTATAACCTGTCCACTTGGTTGAACTTCAACCAGTGAATCCACCTACACGTAATGAATACATTCTTTTCTTTTTCCAAACAGTAGTGCTAGAAAATGAGAACTGGCAAATTTATGGCACATTTTTCTTCTTTAATCTTTTCTAGTTGTATTTAGTTCAACGTCTTAAACATAAGTTTGTATGCTTAGTTCCGTTCAGATTCTCAAATATTATTTTTCTCGTTTGTTATCTTAATATTATTTTTTGAAATTCTTTTA